ACTTTTTGGATGGACTATAGTTTCAAATGATATCTCATAATAAATGGCATTCAATCAACTTAGTCTTCAAAGAGAAAGTCAACTCTTTTTTTTTTTAAGAAAGTTTAATCAAATCGAAAAATGTGCTTTTTATATTTGTTTATTTACATAAAATAACAATAGTAGACTCATATACTACTAACAAACATAGAACAATACGATTTCTATAAGTTGAATGAAGCAAATTTCATTCTTTTTTGTGTTATTATTGGCATAAATAAAATACAAACACAAATGACTGATGAATTATTTCGATGAAAAATTGGTTCAAAGAATAATTTTCTTTCCTTTTATGAATGTACTTTTATTTTTGTTTTTTACAATAGTGTCCAAATTTCGAAAAAAAATTTCGTATGAATTATCAAATTTTGGAAATAAATAACAAGCTAAAACTATATGTGCAGATAATATTGGAATCACTGAAAAATCTTACAAAGTATAGAGAACTCTCCATAAATAAAATATAGAAATTTACTGACAGTTTCTGAAACTTACAAATACATCAAAGCAAATTTGCAACGACTTTTCGGAAATACTCACATAGTATGATGAAATTTTTACTTAATTTTCCAAACGAGAAATATCTACAGAGAAAATTATTAGCAGGCTACCATAAAAATATGCAAAAATACTAGCAGTCATGAAATCTATGCCAGGGATATCACGATAATAGCCACCAGAAATCGAATCAGTTCATATTTTTTTGAAACGGAACCGAACTGAACCGAATCAAAGCTTATATTGAGCTAGCAAATGTTCAGTGTTTCAAAATTCATAATTACTGTGTAGATGCATATAATTCCACTACTAATCAAACTCAATCCAAAATATTTTTCTTTTTTTTAAAGGGGGAGGAGTTAGACAGTTTTTATTTTTAAAAACCAAGTTCATCAATACTGGAAAAGATAACATTTGGATACGACGCAATAACTAGATTTTTTTCGATACTAAAACCAATATGTAATGTTTTTTTTATCAAGAGTTTTGAAATTATTCTTGTCTTTATTTACTTCAGATCATTCAAATCTTTTATTATGACTTCATAAATGTCTGCTCTGATGCCCTCTTACAAAAAAGAAAGTGAACAATCAATTTTAACGATGGACGAGTTATCAAATGATGTAGCGTTACGAGTGGTAGCTTAGAATTAGCATTGCATTAACTAAGGCTATTTTTAATGCTTTTGTATTAGAGTTAAAAAAATAATTTAAGACTTTGATATTAATTTTGAATTAGTATTAGTATTAAAATATCATTACTTTAATATTGATGCTCGCAAACAATCTATTAAATAATGCCAATTTAATGCTAATTAAGATTCAATACTAATACTAAAGTTTTAAATTATTTTTTTAATACTAATGCAAAAGAATTAAAATATTTTCTTACTTTTAATACAAAAACGTTACCGTTTTTCTAAGATTCATGCTAAATCAATGCCCCTGTGTAGCATATTCATTTTCACAGCTATCAAAGTTTTCGAAGAATCACTAATGAACTGCTTGGAAGAGATGCATGCATAATGCAATTGTTTTCCAACAAGTCAAACAAATAATTGCAACGGAACTGTAAAAGATCTAGATGATCTGAGTTAAATAGTAACAAGAACGATTACAGTTAACGTCGGAAACAAAAAACACCGCATTTGGTTTTCGGTATAGAAAAATGTCTAGTTTTCTATTGTAGTATAAGTACTATCTTTTCTAGTGTTGATAAATTTGGTCTTAAAAAAGACTTTCTATTTCTTCCTTTCAAATAAAGAAAATTTTGGATTTAGCTTGATCAGAAGTGTAACTATATGCATTCATACAATAATCATAATTTTTACAATACTTTGTGTCAAAGTATCAATTTTAAATGAGATTAGTTCCCATTTGTTTGATGCAACGAAGAAATGCATGAATTCTAACTCAAACCAATACCATTTCTGTTTTTTGCCTTGAAATAGAATTTCTAACTGATAAAAGTTGACTGTAGTTGTAATTGAAATTGACTGGAATTGACTTAGAATTGAAGTTAGAATTTATCGGAATTTATCGTGAAAAAAGTTAGAATCGAATTATTAACTCATGTAAAAATGTGTAAAATTAGTAATTCTAAAATAACCAGTTTCGACCAGTTCCCATTCCGGTTTCAGTCAATTTTAAGAATTAGTGCATTCCTTAATCGAACCGTTGCCATCTCTGATAACCAGCAACTCAAAACGAGTTTCTTACACAATCTTGTAGCATATTGGAATATGAAAAAAAAGTTTTTAGCCAATTTTTAAGAAGTTTTCAGTAATTACCAGATGATAATGGGAATTTTATGTTTTCTTTACTCATTGTGTAAGTAAATTAACAAAAAAAAATCCGTACAAGTAAAATACTCTGCCCCGTAGAAGTATAAGAGTTTTCAAAATTTTAGATAATTAGTAGGAAATTCTGGAAATTTCCATAATTTCTTTACTTTTAATCTATACAGCTGAGAAATAAATATAATGATATATAAAACCGTACTCCCAAAAAGATATAAGAATTTTCAGAAACTTCGGTAATTACTATGGAATTCTAAAAGCTCCAATAGTTTTCCGGGTACGTTTTTTTTTATTTCATTACATGTATTTCTTAACCTATATGAATCAGATGTAACAAAATTATCGAAATTTCAATAATTACTACGAATGCACCAATCCTTAAAACATGATGTGATACATAACATTTGTTCTTTGTTAAGAATGTAGCTCTCTTGAGTTGTTTACATTAGCCATGATCAGTTTTTTGTAGTTCTATCCAACGCTGCCGTCGAAATTCATGAAATACAAAACAAAGGTTTCTGCATTGGTCAAAAGTTCACAACTTTTAGTGCGTTTCAATCAATTCGAACTGATTGGTCAAAAAACACTAAAACATGAGGACTTTTTATCGATTCCGAACTCTTCGTTTTGTATTTTCTTGAATTTCGACTATTGCTTCAGATAGAAGAAAAAAAACTGATTATGGTTGCTATAAACGATTTGTAGGAAAATTCATCCTTAATAAGTAAAAAGTGTCATCTTTGATATTGTGTTCTAAGAATTGGTGCATCCCTAGTCATTCCTATAATTGTCAAGTAATTATCGAAAATTTCCTTCAAAATTGCCTACAAATTCATTTTCGTGTTTCAATATGCTACGAAACTGCGTGAGAAATTCTTTTTGAATTCGTAGCAATTACCGTTGTTTCTCTGATATAGTTTGCTTGCTTATTAGTATTTTCCATAGTTTGACAGAAGTTTCCTAGTAATTTCCTCTTCAGATATTTCTTGTCTCAGAAAGTAACTAAATATTTTCTTGTGGTAAATGAGTAATTGCATAAAACTCTTGAGAATTTGCTTCTGATGTTTTCGTAATTTCTCGAAATTTCCACTAAATTTCTGTCTTTTATGTTTTGCTGAGTTTGTATATTCTGTAAGAATTATTAGCAATTTTGGAGATTTCCGAAAAAGCAAGTTTAGACATACCTCAACAGACATTGTTGAATGTTCAGTTGATGAAGTGTAATATTAATCATATTTGTAGGAGAAAAAGCACAGATTAAATAGCAAAACTAAAGTGTCATTCCAGTTGCTGTTCATTTCTATATAATGTATCATAATAGCTCAGCTAATGTTTGTTAGTTGGGTATCGTTAATATAGTAGTCACAAATCGGTCCCTCTACCAGATAAAACTATGGTTTTCATAGACTCTTCAAGGCTCTATTATCGTTATAGTTATGCAAGGGTTTTATACAAAATTGATATAGCATTGATAAAAACAACAGATCCTTTTGTAGAATGCATTATTCTAATCTTTGTTTTACAGTGTAGCCATGACCACTTGCTAACTATGGTCAAACCCCTCGGCATGACTTGATTTTTCTACTAAATACAATTGTATTTCACGACGAGGAAGTTTCTAAACATTGACAAATTCTGAGTGGCTTCTGTAGTCAGCGTTTAAGGGAGACAGCAAAATAAGGGAAGGGAAAACGTATGAAACAGAATGGAGGCCACAAAAAACCCATAATGGTGGACCAATAGAATTCAACGTTTGTAAAGTGTGAATGATCCATGTTTCACTACAAGTGAATCCAATTGGTCCATCATTATGGATTTCTTGTGACCTTCATTCTGTTTCATACTTTTCTCCTTATTTCGATGTTTCTCTTAAACGGTGCTCACTGACTCTCGTAGATTTTAGGATATACTGACATCTCAAAATATATTGTAGTACTTAGAAAATATTATATATACTTTTTAAGTCTATGACAAAATGCTCTCTGATATACTTATGATATTTAATGTTTCTCGACGTATAGAGGTCACTAGGCAACCGAAAGAAGTCAGGTTTGCTATAGACAATGAATCATATGATAAAGACTTACTTTTTTCTGTGTGGCTTTGATTTTTCGGGAGATCAGGACGCTATCAGTAAGTTGCTATAGTAAATACTTGAGTTTGCCTGTCTTAAGGGTGCTTTAATCCAGTAAACAGGGAATGTGAATCCTCAAAAACCTTTTAAGCCTTCTTATATGGCTTAAAATCATGCATATTAATAACTGTTCTTCACTATCTTTGAAAAAGATAATGAAATTAACCTATGATATAGTCTCTACATAGTGAATAAAAATATCTTCATAATTTTTCGATTTTTTTATATATCTTGTCATTATGTGTGAAATTAATGTAGTAGTCACATAAAATTCAGCGCTTTTTTTTCGTCATTTAGTTTTTTTTCATGATCTATTAAATGTGAAAGAAATTTACGAATAAAATCTATAATTACAAAATATTTTTTGCATGGTGAAATGAAACGGCGAGTGACTCGTTTTTACTACGTGTTTTTTTCGAAGGAATCTTCCAAACATCAATGACTCACATGTTTTGTCTACGTCATACCTTGTGTTTTATTAAACGCTTTCTTTCCTTTTTATACTTTCCTATAGACAGCAGAACGCGAACAATGTCACAAAATAATGCTCATCTAAATGAAATATGGACCAAGTTAGAGAAAGCTATAGTGCAAATGTTTGAACTTTCATTTATGACAATAAAGGGTTACATGGATCTTTATAAGTCTGTTTTTATCTTTAAATCAATTTTATAATGAAATCTTTTTCTAATTTATATTTCAGTGCTATTGGTAAATATGTCGCGAGCTCTGAATACAACGAGATGATATTAAAAGCATCACCAAGCGAATTACAAAAAAAAGCAGAAGTAGCTAAAAATGAAAATGAAGTTGACGACGACGATCAAATTAATACAAATCATCCAAGTGCTCAAATTTATTTTAAATTAAAGAAAACATTAAAAGAAAATCTTGATAATATAGTCAAGGTAAATTTATTGAAATAAATATACATTAGCAAGCAGAAGAAAATAAACTTGCATAAGTCAATAGCATAATTTCGATTTTCAACAGTAAATTAGAATACAGGAATTTCACATAATATAATTCGATCAAATTCTTTTTTTTCTTACTTTATTTCAAGTTATCATTTTATTTGATTAATTATTATAGGGTGGAAGCCATTTTACAGGTGAAGATTTTCTTCGATTTTATTGCAAAGCTTGGGAAATCTATCAATTTACAAGTCGAATTGTAAACAGTTTATTGAAATTTATCAATGACAATTGGATTCGTCAGCAAGGTGAAGCTGGTGTGAAACGTGTTTATAATATTTATATTGTATGTACACAAATTAGGTTTTTATTTTAATTAATATATAATAAATTTGATTCAGATGGCATTGAAAGTTTGGCAAGATATGTTTTTTAAACAAGCTAACCATTCACTGACACGAACTTGTCTTAATTTAATCAAAGATGAACGCGATGGAAAAAACATTAATTATTCTTTAATTCATGAAGCTATTCAAAGCTATGGTATGTAGATAAACATATATCTATATAAAGTGGTGAACATTATTTTAAGACTCTTCGAATTTTGCATTTTCTAACCTAGTCGTTTAGTTTTAAAAATTGAAGTATACACCAATAAATGCAAAATTTTGGGCTCTACATTTTGAAAAAATAACTCATCCATTATGGAACCATAGTTTTAAAATTTTGTTTATATTGGTGACGGTGAATAATGGTATTGAAAAATGACTAATGCAATTAGTCCCAATATCAACTAGTCCATAAGAACGAGCATCAAAGACTGAACAAAACCAGGTAATTTTTGTACGAACAATATTCTGTTTGATACTGGAATTTTAAGAACTTTCTTTTGTTATGAATCATCAGTTTTCGAATTTAATGTTTTTTTTTCTATCAAAAAGCAAGATTAGAATTTTAGATTTATATCAGTTTTGTAAAAAGTTGCATTCTCTACAAGATGACAACTTCGGCACTTCTCTATGATGCCTAAAGAAAATGATGTGTCCGAAATACTTTTAGTGCGCACACAAAAGTATTGATAATATACAGTGCCGGACAAAAGTTTAGGACTTTTTTCTCGTCTTTTTCAAGAACAATAAGCGATCCAAATGTGATTTATAAGGTGACATAGATAGTATGAACAACGAGCTATACGATGTACTATGGGACATAGCTAGATCTTTTTCGTCCGGGTTTTGAATATCAAAAACAGACTTTTACACGAAAAAGCGTTTTTTCTTCATTGTGAGTATTTCGCTTTTCCTAACCAAGAAATTTTCTCCAAAAAATTTAAACTATGATAGTTCGATAGAGAATTTTACAGGCCATCCATTGCTAAAACCGCTTTCCGCTTTTCATCTTGTCTTCACTCGCTAAAACCAATTTTACTGAAAACGGTCGTAAAGGTCCGAACAAGAACGATATACTCCCTCAAAGTAAATTCTAGTCAAATATGTTATACACCAAAAGAAAGAGTGTAAAGAACTACATCAGATGATGTATTTAAAGCTTGAAAATAATTAGGTTTTTCAGGGATTTTACACAAAGGAAAGGTTTGGAAAAAGTGGTCAGCTCAGGTTTTTCAAAACTTTCGCCGTGAAACTCAAAGTTCTCCATTTTCTGAACTAGTCAGCTAAATAGAGCACAAAATTCTACACAAAAGTGTGTCTTTATTGCTATGATTCATCATCGGATGCTTGAGATTTTAAACCAAAACCCACCTTTTCATTTTGACAGATGTCGCCTTTTCCCGGCGTATTACATTCCTGTGGTATTTTCCGTATAAGTTCGCATAGAAATGGCTTAGAAGGGAAAACTAGGTGATCCCTGACTTTCTAGACTTTTGTAAAAGGAATTTATAAGCAAGATACCATAGGAATGTAATACGCCGCGAAAAGGCGACATCTGTCACAATGAAAAGGTGGGTTTTGGTTTAAAATCTCAAGCATCCGATGATGAATCATAGCAATAAAGACACACTTTTGTATAGAATTGTGTGCTCTATTTAGCTGACTAGTTCAAAAAATGGAGAACTTTGAGTCTCAGGACGAAAGTTTTGAAAAACCTGAGCTGACCACTTTTTCCAAACCTTTCCTTTGTGTAAAATCCAAGGGGGAAAAGCGGATCCTGGATCCTCGGATCCTGTGGATCCTGATGGATTCTGTTGGATCCTATTGGATCCTGATGGATCCTGCCGGATCCTGATGGATCCTGCCGGATCCTATTGGATCCCGATAGATCCTGATGGATCCTGCCGGATCCTATTGGATCCCGATGGATCCTGATGGATCCTGCCGGATCCTATTGGATCCCGATGGATCCTGCCGGATCCTACTGGATCCCGATGGATCCTGATGGATCCTGCCGGATCCTACTGGATCCCGATGGATCCTGATGGATCCTGCCGGATCCTACTGGATCCCGATGGATCCTGCTGGATCCTGTCGATACTGTTGGATTGTTATAAAGGATATTAGATTGCAGAATAGATTGACTGAAATGTACGGAAATCTATTAGAACTTACTTCAATCTACTAAATTCGTCGGACTCTAACATAATCCATCAAAAACTGATTAGCTATACAGCAATCTGCAAACAATGTAAAAAACATGGATCCTGTTGGATTAGGGATGTACAGCTCATGCTCACGAGCGCTCATAAGCGTAAGCGTTTCTTCTTTAAATAGAATATGCAAGAAATCAGCAATAATGAACCCACTTTAGCTTATATTCATATAAAAATACATTATAGTATCTCATACAGTTTATTATTTAATATTTTCAATCGATGCATCTAAATAGTTGTTACTCGATCAATTGACAATAAGTGCTAGAATAGGCTCATTAAAGTTTGGAAAATCATAGTTTCCGAATATTTGTTTCTTAAATTCGCTCATCTTGCCACTGCAAACAACCAAGAAACAAAGCTAGGATCTTATTATATATGTCTAGTGGGGGTAGCACATTACTATTACCGGTAATACGTAATAACTAACGGCGTTATTACTTATCACTGGAAATAAGTAATAATTCTGAAAAGTAATAAAAGTAATAAAGAAATAATAGTAAATAGGTAATATAGTAATAAGTATTAAAAGTAATAACTGTTATTTCTAATTAATAGTACTAACTAAAGGCCAGGAAAAAGTAATAAAGTAATAAGGAAGAAATAAAGTAATAAAGAAATTGCTGGTGGGATTACTTCTATTTATCGATATATTTCCATTTTCTCACTTGGGCTACAGCAGCTCTCAGATTGTAGTTCATTTCAAATGAACGAAAGAACTGCTGAAACAGTTCTATGTAATGATTTGTCCACAGCCGCTAGATTGCCTGCATTCAGTCACTAGTATTATTTGGGTCGTAATTAAGGGTAGCCCCTACAATTCCTTAGGCCCTATCTAGAGGTGATCCCTGTGACTTTTTGCATCCTACCTGGAGGTGGTTCCGTAAATTTTGTGAACTTACACTGGGATAGTTCCTTTAGCTATTTGGGATCTACTTAAGAGTCGTCCTTATAACTTCTTCGGGACCCCTATGGATGGTACTTCAAGCTTGAAGATATCACCGCTGGACAGAGTGACATGCTAAAACGACGATACTTAGATAGGATTGAAAAAGTTATAGAAAGTGTCACTAGTAACGACTAGGGGTGCACCGAGACCGAGACTTACCATCTCGGTCTCAGTCGTCGCGGTCGAAGTTCCGGTCTTAGTCTCGTTCGCGGTCAGTCTCGGCTTTCAGTATCGATGAATGTCGGTCTCGGTGAGTTTCGACCTCGGTATCGATGAATATTGGTCTCGGTACTAATTAGTCTCGATCTCCTTCTTGGCTTTATTCAATCACAATAGCAATTCCAGTCTTGGTCTCTGGAACTTGGTGTCGATTTCAAAGAGACTATATGAAAGGAAGACTGGTGATTTCACAATTTTTCATTCCACAAAATTGGAACTGAGTAACACTTTCACATTTATGGTGGTACTTTTCTGAGATTTTTTTGTTGGGTCAAAACTTTGAAATCTGATTTGAAAAATTGTTGTACCTGCGTACCCCTTCAGAGATTGCGAAAAGCTTTTTATCTTTATTACAAAGGTTTTATATTTAGTTCTATAGAGTTCGTCGCGCAAATCACGAATATCATATTTTCATTGAAATTTGATTGGATAATAAGAAACTTTTGAAGACTTTACTGGTTCCAATCCTTATAAGAAATAATCAGGTCTTGACTCAAGCCTTTTCTAAAATTATGTTTGAAGTACTTGGATGACTTCTGTCTAACCTAATTTTTTCTGCTCTATCCAAATTTAAAAGAACCTGGAAGGAATATTAGTGTCATTGGCTCGATGATATTTTCCTACCGGGCTCGATTGGTACAATTGGGACCAGTAAAGTCTTCAAAAGTTTCTTATTATCCAATCAAATTTCAATGAAAATATGATATTCNAATTTTAATAAATTTTATAAACACATACATAATGGACGAAAGCTTACATGGATTTATCAACATTCCAAAGGTGAATTACAAACATTGTTTACAGATCAAGTGTATACATTACAGGTATAAATACACATTATCATTTTCTGTTTTTTCTTTGCATATATTCGATATGCAGGTATCAATGTATCAAATGATAATACTTCTTTTATTTAATAATGCACTAGAATGGACACTAGAAAAAATTCAGGATGAAACACAGATTAAAATTGATTTATTATTACCACTTTTGAATACATTAGTTGAATCGAAGATTTTAACATCTACACAATCTCTTGATCCAGCAAATCTTGATATGAATTGTATAATAAAATTATCCAATGACTTTAGAAGGTAAATAGAATCTTTTTTGTCCATTAGTGATATTTCCATGTTCAAAGTTTTTTAGTGATAAATATCGTATAAATTTAAACGCTATAATAAGATCTGTGGAAGAAAGAGACGGAGAAACTTTTCATAACAAAATTGATCAAGACCGAATAATGACTATTCGAGTTCGTCAAGAATATTTTACATTTTTAATTTGCTTTTGATTTCATCCTTTCAGGCGACTATCGTACGAATAACAAAATTACATAAAACAATAAATGAAAATCTTTTAGTAGAAATAGTTCTTCAACAATTATTTTCATATTTCAATCCTAACGTTTCTACAATTAAAGTAACTATTGTTGTTTGTTAGTTTCTATCCAATATTTGCTTTTTTTGTCTTTAGGATTGCATCAATGCTCTGATCACCAAAGAATATCTCGAACGTCAATCAAATGATAAAGATATTATCTGTTATATCGCATGATCGATAAATGGCTTCTCTGGATCTATTTCTATTTTTTGATTCATTTAATTCAGATAAAATTTTGAAAGAAGAAAATCTTCAAAGAACTTCACTTGTATTCTATGTGATTTTTTTATGAGTATAAGAAGCCAACAACGACAAATTTCATATAAAAACTGCTGAATATTTTGAAAAAGTCGATTTGGTTCATAGTACATCTAATCAAATTCGACTTTTGTGTCTTGATAAAACTGAAAAAACGGTTGATGTTGTGCAATACAATTGACTTTTTTTTTAAAGTTTTTTTGAAAAAAACAAAAATATGTATTGTAAACAACGATCGCAAAAGTGAAGTGTGTGGGAAATTGCATCGTCATACGATAATCGAAAACTTTTTGTTACTGTCAGGAAAAAAAACTTTAAGATATTACGAGAATGTTTTGAAGAAAATACATTGTATCTGTATTTTGTCATTAGATTTTCTTGCCGTTTTTATACTTATTCTCGATGAGTCACAAAGCGTTGCAATACTATTGTATTTTTATGCAAGGTGAAATCATCGTATTGTTGAATTCCCATTTGAAATTGATCCGATTCCCATGGAATCCGATTGTACAGATTTCAACGACCATCCGATAGGTATCAATCGAAACTATCAAGATTCGACTGGGATGATTGACACTGATAGTTATGAGAAGAAAGTGAAAATATTAAGTAAAAGCGTACTGTTTTTTTTAATGTTCTACGTTTATATGTAATTTATAATCCTAGAGAGCATGAGTTATACCTGACGAGAGAACCTCTTTAACTTTCAAATCGCTTTTTGATGACTGCAAGAGAATCATAGAAAACTTTAGAATAGTTTTGCTCACAGTAACGACCCAGAAGTCAGGATCAGAAAAGATTCGTGTTTGATGAATGAATAATTAAGACGTCGGTCACCAGAGAATACATTTGCCATTACTAAGTTCTTGATTTTTATGCTGAAAAATGTAATCATATACCCATAGAGTAGATTTCTTATTTCACTTAAATGTTCCTGAGCATGACAAACTTCTTACATTCTCCAGCAATTTCGAACTTAAATGAGATCCTTCTCACAATGGTAATAACCAAACATTCATGAGTCAAATATGTTCTGTACACAACTAGCAATATCTTTTTCTTTCGTCAAGACTCTTCGTATGAAACTCGAGAGCTTATAATCATGAACATACTATTTTTGCTATCCTACGCTTAAAATTTTCTTATGGAGTGGTTAACTATCCAATGGGTCTCTCGAAATACTGTTTGTATTTCACCAGTACTGAAATGCTATTATTGTACGGGATCAAGAGTCAATAGCTAAATTTCCACGATATTTAAAACTGATAAACCATTGCATAAGCGATGAAAAACATTCTTCGATGCTCACTGAAAGTGGTTACCAATCGAGAACGACGATGTTTACATTCATACAAAGCAACCTCCAACACTGTTACGTATGAATCATTTGAAATCAACTCTCTTTAATGTCAAAGTCTGACCGTGAGTGATTTGTTCTAGTTCATTATTAATAAAAATAACTGCTTCGTGTTATCTAACTCACATATTTATTAATATATTATCAATAATTAAATTATTATTCGATAAAATTATATCATATTACATTATATAGTTAAAAACTAATGCAAAATCATATGTTTTAAATCAAGAAAAACGTATTTAAAGTATTTATATGTTTAAATGCGTTAAATATCATTGTTGAACCAGTTACGTTGAGTTTCAAGAAATTGATTATTTTCTAACGAAAGTTTTAGATCAAAACAATAATTTCATGTATTTCAAAATATTTATAACAGTATATTCTTTCGGAATTTTGGTTAAGTCAAAATATGTAGTAAATAGTTTACGCTCACAATTAATTGTGTTGCAAAAAACAACGTTGATATATTGATTTTTAGCTTTTCTTTATCAATCAGTAATAATTTGTATTGATGACGAAAAATTCAGGTGTCTAATTAGAATTTGTAAATACTTTGAAAGCAATCAATATACCAGAATATCATTAAAAACATTTTAAACTTCATGAGACCATTGATCAGTTTTTCATTAGTATTACAGTAATTATCATTAATAAAAATCAAAATTTGTTGGCACCCTTAGAATAATATGAGGAAAATATATTCTAGATATCGAATAGGCCATTTGTATCAGGTTTGAAAACGATACGAAATCTACCGGATTTTTATTGATTTTTACGATCTTAACAGCCCAGAAATAGGAGCATCAAAATGTTCAACTGACAAATTTTTGGTCATAATTATAATCCTAGTTCTAGATTTTTAACTCACGCTGTCTCATCACTCGATAAGGGCTTCGAATCATGGTGAACATATTAATTATGGCCACGATAAATTTAGTGTAAACTAAACATTTTCAACTTTGAAATTTCAAATTCATTTTTTCAGGGCTACTTGTAACTAACTTTCAGAAACTCTCAATGTCTAGTAGTTTCAACTCATGATTTTGTTAGATAGCTATCAAGAAAGACTCCGTTTTGTTGCGAAAGTTCTACTACCTGCTCTCTCATGCAACTGTGGCAATACTTCAGGTATTAAGAAGCCGAAAAGTATGAAACTTGGTAAAAAAAAAAACGAAAGAATCGAACTTTGTAGCTCATCTTGTTTTCTTATCAATAGTAATAGACTTAAACGAATCGATAAACCTTTTTTTTGTATTAAATAATCATTCCAGTAAGGAAAATATCAAACTTATCAGTTCTTATAAAGAGATTGTATCTTTATTGAAGAAAGCCAGTCAAAATAAAGCATAGATGTTATTCACTATAGATCTTTGTAAGTTAATAGATGAAAAATATTGAAAGACTTTTTCCTTTGTTCTTAGTATTAATGTTTAATGGAATGCAACAAACTAAAATAGAATTTATTCTTAGAAACTCCAATAGTTATACGAGTTTCAGATTGTATATGTCTTCGTGAAACTATACTAATAAACGTTCTCTCAAAAGAACTAGTAGGTTACTGGATGCGTTTAAATGTACCGGTTTTTCATCAGTTTAGCCGAGAATTTTAACTGGTCGGTTCTATTCGATTGAAAAAAACTCGACCGGTTATAAATCTATGCGATCGAATATCGTCTTACTATAGTCAAAACAGCATATTCATATCTTTTCTTCTGTTCTTTTGCCATTATTTTCATATTGAGAAACTAAAAAACTGTGGTACTCAATGTCCGAATATTCATAGAAAAAAGCAATCTACTAACTTAATTGGCTGAATATTGAATGATCTAAACTCAAAATAGTTCTATTAGCTCCTGAAATACTCATACACAGTCATTTTATTTACACGAACGATTGATCCAATTTTTGATCTTTAGATTGTAAAAGTTTTGTACTTCAAAAAGTCAAGAAAACAGACAAAATGCATTAATTATTATATTTAGCTTCTAATCAAGTCTTCATATACTCAATATTTTCTATCGTCTCATTCAACAGATGTCACTTATGTCTTTAGTTATTGTAAAGCAATTTTATCTATTGAATTTTGAAGTATCCAATAATAATTGCCCCACTTCTTTTTTTTTGTATTCTTGCACACACGTGCGAAAACTTTAATCTGCTATACTTTTACTCATTATAATGAATACTCGAGTATCAATGTCCGATGCTCTATCAAATGTTGAGGTTCTTTATGAACTTCCACTTATTGATTCTCAACCAAGTGTCGAAGGTGCTAATAATGCTATTGTCTATGAAGCTAACTTTGATACAAATTTCGAAGATAAAACAGCTTATATTACTGGAATATCAAAATATATTGAAGAAGCTGTTTTGCATTCAAACCTAGTATGAAGATTTGAATAATAATGATTTTTTTTGTCTAAATATTATTTTGCTTTTTTTTCAGAGTCTTCTTCTTGAACAAGGTTACCAACATGCAATGACACTTTATACATGGCGTTGTTGTTCACGAGCTATACCAACAGTAAGATTTTGAAGTTTTAGTTTTTTTTCAAGAATAATTTATTAAATGCTTTTAATGTAAAATTATTTATCTAGTTTATTATCAATATCTTGTAAGTCCGAGTGTCTGCTCTAACTTTATTTCCCTGCTTATTTTTTTTTTCTAATGGGAATGGAAAATTTTTTATTTCATTCTAATGAATGAATAATTATTTGTTGCAATATATATTCTAGGTTAAATCACCTGAACAACCAAATCGTATTGAAATTTATGAAAAAACTGTCGAAGCATTACAACCAGAAGTAGCAAAATTAATGGCTATTATGCATTTTTCAGTATGAAACAATTTTATTTGAATAAGAATTTATTAACGAATATATTTAGATGACTGCAATTGATACATTTTGTAATCAAGTTCGACGTTTATGTCATCATGAAAAACGAAAAGAATTTGTTAGTGAAGCTTATTTATTAACATTGGGAGAATTTATAAATATGTTTGCTGTACTTGATGAATTAAAAAATATGAAATCATCAGTTAAAAATGATTATTCAGCTTATCGACGGTATGAGAAAATGATTTAGAAGACAATTATTAATTTGTTGAAGTTACTTTGATTTTTATTTTAGAGCTGCTCAATTTTTAAGAGTTATTAGTGATTCAACAGCTTTAACTGAATCACAAAATTTATCAATGTTTTTAGCTACAAATGATAAAATTCGAACTATGCTTAAAACATCACTAGCACAAATAGAATGTTGTTTAAACTTTTATTTCCATTGATAATGTTTGAGTGAATATCTTTTTTTAATAGGTTATGAAGAATTACTTGCTGATGTTGTTAATACAAGTGTACATATGTTCGAAAATAAACTCTATTTATTACCAAGTGAAAAACATATGTTGGTTAAGGTATGTCGAAGTTTAAATACAAAAAT